TAGATCCTGGAAGCAACCTAGATGCCCCACAACTGAAGAGTGGATAGAGAAAATGTGGTACATTTACACAATGTAGTACTACTCAGCAGAGAAAAACAATGGATTCTTGAAATTTTTTGGCAAATGGATGTCACTAGAGGAAACCATCCTGAGTGAGGTAACCCAGACACAAAAAGACAAACATGGTATTTACTCACTCATATATGGATTTTAGATATGGATCAGGGGAGTGTCAGCCTACAATCCCAGTGCCGGTGAGTCTGGGAAACAAGGAGGTTCCCAACAGAGATGCAAGATACCCCAGAGAAGTGGAATGAGGCAAGATCTCCTGAGCACATTGGGAACATCGGGGGAAAGGAGAGGGAACCAAGAAACACAGAGGGTGATAAGAGGAGGGGAGAAAAAAGCATGGGAGAGCAGGAAGGTCAAGTCGAGGTAAGAATAGAGGAGAGCAGGATGAGAGATACCATAATAGATCGAGTCATTATAGGCTTGAGGAGTGAGCTGACTCTAGTGAGATCTCCAGAGATCTACAAGGATAACACCAACTGGCAAACTAAGCAATAGTGGGGAGACTACATTAATTGTCCCTCCTTGATGGTAAGGCTGATGACTACCTTATATGCCCTCCTAGAACCTTCACCCAGGGATTGATGGAAACAGAGACAGATACCCACAGCGAAACACTGAACTGAACTCCTGGAACCTAGTGACAGAGATGGAGGATTGATGAGCAAAGGGCTCAAGACCATGATGATGAAACCCACACAGACAGCTAACCAGATAAGGTGGAGCTCTTGAAACCCAGACTGATGGCTGAGAGGCCAACAGGAGACTGATCCAAACTCCATGAATGTAGTGCTAGGGAGGAGGCCACAGAAATCACTGGGGCCTTGGGTAGTAGATCGGTGTTCACTATGGTTTATGAATGAGCTTTGGGAGCCCATTCCAAATAGAGGGATGCTCTCTCAGCCTGGACACATGGGGAAGGGCCTAGGTTCTGCCCAGGATGAAATGACAGACTTTAGAGATCCCCCCAAGGAGGGTCTCACCCTCCCTGGGGAATGATGTGGGGATTGGGTGGGGGGCTGGGGGACTGGTGGAGGAACAAGGGAGGAGGAGTGGGAGAGGGAGCTGGGACTGACATGTGAAACATTCACGTTTCTAGTTTAAATAAAAACATATATTGAGAAGAAAAAAAAAACAGAGATGGTGGAGGGCAGGTAGGAAGCTGGCAGTGAAGGAAAGATTAGCCAAAACTAAGGATGCATGAGAAAGACACATAGGGCCTACCCTTTATAAACTAAGTAAAATATATAATTTTAAAGACAACTTTTAACATAAATACTCTGATGGTGGATAATACCATGCACAGAAGTCATAGAATATAAACAACAACAAAAAATTCTCTATGTATTGTTTGCCAAAGGGCTCCCCAGAAGCCCCCCAGATGAATACAGTTGCCACTACTCTTGGCTGCCTGCCAGAAGAGTAAGACCCTATTGCTGAAGATACCACAGACTTTGGCTACAGGACACTGAGAAATCAACTTGGAACTGAGCTTGAAGCCTCCTTTCTCCTAGCTAATGCTCATAGGGACTGTTTGGAAGATAACAAATCATTTTCCAGTTTGCTATTTTCTTTCACTCCATGAAAGGAGTGATACACTTCTGGAAAAGCCTAAACAGGAGGGTACTAAACCCTCAGAGATAATCTACTACTGTTGTTTGTAAATAAATATAGTGTGAAACTGCCTTCTAATATTTATGTTCTTATCCCCAGAAAAGTATATTACCCTCATTAGACAGAGTCATTGGTGGTGGTGAGTTTTGTGTGTGTGTTTTGTTTTCTGCAGGGTAGGGGTTGGTAGTTAATGCAGAGACTCCTAACTGGTCAAAATATTGAGAAGTGACAGGATTCACTCCAAGGCCCAGGGAACACCAAGAAAGAGGAGGCAAAAATTTGTTAAAGCTGGAGTTTAGGAAAACATGTTATGAAATGTTGACTACCAGAAAGGACATGGCTGTTGCAGTCACAACACATATGTAAGACCTGCATATGACTGGTGCTTTGACGCTCTACCATGAGCTACCCACTCCTTCATGGGGAGCTACTGGCTGTTGCTGGGTGCCATAGGAAGGTGGCCACTTCATTTTCTTCAGTGGTGTAGCCACTAGTAAGTTGTCCATACTCCAGTAAAAAACTGCCTACCCAATGAACCTCTCACGCAGTAGGAGTGAATATAAGATGTAATCATGAGTTGTCCATGTGATAAAATTATCAAAACTGAGAAAAGGAAGAAAAATAAAACAACAACAACACACACACACATACACACATACACACACACATACACACAACACACAACACACACACACACAGATATTAGAATCTGTCTTTTTTTTCCAAAGCAAAATGTGAAGCTCTTTCCTTCCAGTAATTCTCAGAATCTGAAAGAATTCTTCCAACACATATTCTGAAAAATAGGGGAAAAAGTTATGAATTTTTCATGGATCACAACTCTTCTATACTGATGTCAAGAGAAGCAATTTAGGGATCCCATCAGTTTGCTCTACCTATCTACCTCAGTGTCCACAGGCTTTTATTTCTGTAGGTATACATTCCATGACCCTAGTAGATTAACTCTCCAGAGTTACATAACATACACATTTTCTCTCCTTTACTGAAAAGCACTGTACTCCTCCCTATTGCAAAAACAATGTTTCAATGGTAGCGCTGTACTCCTCTCTACTGCATAAACAATGTTTCAATAGTTCACTCTTTCCTATCAGAATAACAATGTAGCAGTGATTTGCTCACCTTCAAAATTCTGTATCATATGAATTCCCACTAACTGGCTGGACGTAACAAGAACATTTGAAGTACACTCATGTCCAAGTCCAGATTCTTTTTTAAATTTTTTTATTTAGATTAGAAACAATCTTGTTTCACATGTCAATCCCAGCTCCTTCTCCCTCCCCTCCTCCCCCGCCCTCCCCAACAGGTTCCCCATGGTGGGATCTCCAGTAACTGTCACTTCATCCAGGGCAGAGCCTAGGCCCTCCCCCAAGAGTCCCAGCTGAGAGAGGGACTCATGGAGGGAGGATCACCCTCCATGGTGGATCTCCAGTAACTGTCACTTCATCCAGGGCAGAGCCTAGGCCCTCCCCCAAGAGTCCTGGCTGAGAGAGCCTCCCATATTGTGGCATGGGCACTCAAAGTCTATTTGTACGCTAGGGCTAAATACTACCCAAGACCCCACAGATTACCTAGGCCTCCTCACTGACACCCACATTCAGGGGGTCTGGGTCAGTCCCTTGCTTTCCACACAGCCATCAATCTGGAGTCCAAGAGCTCCCCCTTGTTCATGGCATCTGTTTCTGTGGGTTAAACCAGCCCACTCTTAACTCCTTTGCCCATCATTTCTCTCTTTCTGACACTGGATTCTAATTCAGTTCAGTGTTTGTCTGGGGGTATAGTCGCTGGATGAAGGTTCTGTTTCCTAGATTCTCTGGCAGGAAACCAAGCCCAGATTCTTAACCCAGTCAGCACACCGTCCTCATGAAATTTCCCCAGCTCAGTGGAAGAGCCATTTAGCGTCTCTGCCCTAAATCACCACTTTCCTTCAGTTTGCCCCCAATGCAGTAACCACTGTGATGCTTTTAAATAGGTGTACTGAATCATTAATTCATTTATTTTGTCAAAATTCTCCACACGCCTTCCATATTACTTTATGAGACAGTATGACAGTTCAGTGTACCATAAGTGTACCATACTAGGCAGCCCCTACGTTAGAATCATATATACTACTTCCTCCTTAATGTCATTGTAGCCACACGAACTTCTTTCCTTATCATTGAACATAGCAACAGACAAGGTCTCGATGGACTTGCTATTCTGTGCCTACAAAGCTCTGGACCCAGGCAGCTTACGGCTTGCCCACTGAGCTATTTAAGTTTGTTGAAATATGTTACTTTCTCTTGAAGACTTTTTGTTTAAGATAATACTAAGTTGCTAAACACACAAACTTTATTCTTTATATTTTTCATATGTGCATAATGGTACAAATATATTTTTCATATTTTTCTTACTGTATATGCTTCCCACTAGAAAACACCAAGAAACCAAAGGTTTCGGCTTTATTCTAATGCCAAGGGCAGTGTTTGGTAGGTAGCAAGGGACGGATATGTCTTAACTACGTGCATAAGCAAGAAGCAAGCTCTCCATGTGACCTAGTAATGTTTTATGTAATGATACATTATATAATTCATTCCTGCTGGAATTCTAATAAAAACCTGGAATACTTTTTACGTGGTATCAGAATGCATTAGATCACGAAGCAATTATATTTCTGAGGAACTCTGAGGTGAGAGATAATTGCTGCTTGTAAAGGAGAAAATTTCCTTAAAAATCCCCTTTGCATGAAGAATTCTGGGGGCTTAAAACCCAACCTTTCCTTTAATCTCTTTCCCCCTGCTATCACAGCACCTGGATCCTGGACAAAGAGCACTTGGAGGGCGGGGAGAGACTTTTGCATTTTAGGCAGGCCTTTGGTTAGCTCAGAAAGTCGCCAGTGGCTGGCTGATGGAGTAAACACTGCGAGTGCCTGGCTCCAGAAGCCACGCTCCCCTAAGTTCTGTCCCAGTCCGGCGGGACTAAAGTCTACCCCGTAACTTAGTTCAGGGCTGAGCGCTCCTAGAGGAAACCGAGACCGAGTGTTGGGGATGCTTGAGACCCGACCACCACGGGGCGGGAGGGGACCGGGGACCGTCGCTCCCCGGCTTCCGCAGAGGCGACCGCTGCAGAAGGCGTCCCCGCGCGAGGGCGTCGTGGGCTCGGCTCCCCCGAGGGGCGCCCGAGGCGACGGCCCGGATCTGCAAGTCGCGTTGGCAGCGACGCCGGGGCTCCGGACCGCGGAGGCCGCCGACGAGCGGCGCACACCCGGCCTCGCCACGCACCCCAGCGGGCACCCGCGGAACCAGGACGGGGACTCGCATTACCTGAGCGGCACCCCGGGTCTGCGGTACGGCGGCGGGCGGGGCCGGTTTTCGGCAGCCGTAAAGTGCGGGCGACCCGGAGAGCGGGAGAGCGGGCGAGCGGCGACCCCCACCCCGTCGGGCGTCTCGGGCCGATCCTTGTCGCCTCCCCTCCGCGCGGGCGTCACCGGGGCCAACGCTGGGCCGGCGGCTGAGTCACGGGAACCGCGCTGCCAAGGCGGACCGAGGGCCGAAGGAGGCTGAACGGCGAGCGGCCCCCACGCGGAAGGAGGGCTTTCAGGGACTCCGCGGAACTGGACACTTGGCCCCTTGGCGAACCCCTCCCTCCCCCTAGACATAGGCACTTTCTGCATGATTTCATCCCGGATTATTGTTTGGGTCCCGTGAAACCTTCAAAAGATTAAAAGGAGCGTGTTTTTCTAGACCAAATATGCAGGATCAAATCTGTGCCTCGGTTTCTTAAATATCGCTGTGTTGTTTAAACAGAGAAAGCAGAGCTGGAAAGTGGTAGGGTGGTCTAGTCGAGGGTTCATGCCCGGCTTGGCAGAAGTTAGGCTGCACATTCCCCCTCCGCACTGGAGGGGAGGTAGAGGCAGAAGGATCTGAGGTTCCAGGTCATCCACTCGTCACTTGAGGGAACTGATTTAAATTAGGGATGGAGGGAAGATCTGAGTAAAGAAAGGGAAGACAACAAGTAGCCTGTGGGAGACAGAGAGAAAACGGCACAGTGCAGAGCAATGCATTTACTTGCTATGTAGACATTAATGACAAACTTCGTCCACTGAGGGAGGTTATTTAAATATGTAAAGAGATAACCAACTGCCTGTAAACGAGCCCCACGTGAAGAAGCATCTTTGCTCTAATGAATGAGATCTGGCAGCTCTGCAAAACCAGGGTATCCTTGTGCGGCATCTTGAGGGGTTGAGTCATCAACCACAGCAGAATTAGTGGGCTGGGTTCCTGAAAGGCTCAGCAGATGGAGAGCATTCCAGCGGTTTTAATAACTGAACGGTGTGATGTTCCCCTCTGCTCTTCTGTCAATTTTAGAAGAAAGGACTCCGCATACAAATCTAAAAAGAGAACGTGGAAATCAAACCTAGGCTAGCTACTTAATAGCAGATAGTCTGCCCACTGTGAGCTAGCAGTAAACTCCTCCATGACAAATAATCAGCCCTGGCTTGCATTCTGTTTTCCTGTTTCCGTTTTCACTGCTTTGGGTTTTATCAACTTTCTTCTTCCTTCCTTTCTTTTCTTTTCTTTCTTCCTTTCTTTTTTCCCCAGTGGAACTGCTTAGGGGAAAGGTGGTTTTAATTAATATGAAGGAATGGAAGGAATTTTCGTTGGGCCTCTTAAGCAGGGTGGAACTTTCTGAGCAAAAGGGTTTTTGCTGAAGTTTTAATGAGAGTAAGAGTCAGTCGCCAAATAGAAAATCAGAAAGGGTTTTGTTTTCATACTAGGAACAATAAGACTGGACGGCAGAACAAAATAGGATAGAGTGGAAATCACCCTAATTACTTGAAGAACAAAGTGCCAGAAGTGTTTTCTATTAGATAGAAACAGCCCTTTACACTGGCGAAGCATAAGGAAAAGACAAAGACCTTCTGTCTAAAATGATGCCTGTTTCTCTCAGTGCTCTCCTGGCGGGTAAAAGGCATGTAGGTAGTTTCTGTTTAAGAACTCCGTGTTTTTTTCTGGTTTTGCAAACCCTTCAAGCTTATTAAACTTTTATGTGTGTGAAAAGAGGAGCTACAATCTTAAGAGTAGGAAGCCGTTCAAACTTCCCATGAGGAGTTCTCTCATCTGAAAATCAGTCAAGGAGATTTCCTGAAGAACTTTTGAACTGGCTTTAGAGTTTGTCATTTTCCTTTCCCCAAACAAGCAATACAAACACAAAAGTAAAGGCTAAAGACAAAAAAGTTTGCCTTGCCTGAAAAGCCTTGGTCAGAGAAGAAATTTCCACTCTTTTTAAGCAAAGAGAAATTATCCACCTGATTTTGCACACTTGTTAAACATCTGAGTCCCTGAGGCACTTTCTGGTTAGACACTAGCAGCCTGGCGAGTGAAAATTGATTCACGGGTATGAGAGCAGATTAGAAGTTTACTGAAGACAGAATTTTGACTGATAGTTGCTTGTTTTAAAACTCTGAACACAACTTAAAACCACGATTTAAGATGTAAAGCAGGGCCAGGTTTCAATGGGCAAAGTGCTGACTGCACAAATGTGGGTACCTGAGTTCAGACTCCCAGATCTACATCAAATGGACACTATAACTTGCAGCCCTAATGGCAGTGCTGTCCAACTTAGATGAGAGGGCACTTTCCAGAAGCTCACAGGCCATGTAGCCTGGAGTACCCAGGTTAGACAAGAACCCCTGTCTCAAACATTGTGGACGCCCTTACCTAGGATTCCTCTGGCATCAACTCACACACTGTCTCACAAGAGCATCCACACTCACACATGTATGCACTGACACATACACACACACAAAGCTAAAACAAGAAAAGCAAAGTGATCAAGTTTGATAGAGATGGATGCCTCTATCAAACTGTAGTTAAATGTGAATTTAAAGTTTACTATGTAACTGAATTTAAGCTTGTGAGGCTGATTGGGTCTTCTTTTCCTCACATCCTAGATTACCACAGAAAAAGTTACTTCTTTGAACTTCAAAGCACTTAGTTTTCTTCCTAAGATCAACGTTCAGAGAAGATTCCTGTCCCAGGGCAAACATTTTGTTACAAAGTTCCCATTTGCTTAGTGACTGCCGAAGCAACAGCTAAACAGTGAGGCAGCCTCTGCAAAAGGCAAGACTTTGTCAACTTATTTCAGGAATGTTGGTAAGATCTGCATCAACCTTCAAATGTGGTGGTCAAACCAAATGTTGATCTAACTGGGAATGCTGTGTTTGGAAGTTTCTGGCTTGGCAAGAGACAGCAGTCTGTTTTCATGTTTATGTATGGGTGTTTTGCCTGCATGTAAGTCTCAGTATGATATGTGTGTGGTGCCTGAGGGGATCAAAGATGGCATCAGGTCCCCTAGAGCTGGCGTTACAGATGGCTGCCACCAGAGCCCCTGGAGAGACATTACAGATGGATGCTCTGTGAGTTCTGAGGATTGAACCTGGGTTCTCTGGGAGTACAGCTAGTGCTCTTAACTACTGAGCAATCTCTCCTGACCCAGGAGTACAGTCTTAAAGATTCAAGTTGTTCTCTATCTCCACAACTTCATACATCATAAAACTGAAACTCCCAACCCTTAAACAATTCTCTTTCACTTTCCCAGCCCCAGGGATAATTAGCATTCTGTCTTCTGTTTCTACCAATTTTAATTCCTCTTTCTAGTTCACATGTTAGTTATCCTTTGCTAACAATTTTATCATACTTAGTATATATAATAAGCTCAAAGTCTACCCACATTATAACTTTATTAGAATTCCTTTCATTTTAAAGTTGAATACCTTCCCCCTTGGAGGTACGTAATCACATTTTGCTTATCTATTTATCCTTTGATGGACACTTGTCTTATGCACTTGAGCTTTTATGTATAATGTTGTTATGAATATCAATATACACATATCTCTTGAAGATCCTCCTATAAGATCTTAAAATTGAATTGAACTAATGAAAAAAGGCATGGTGTGATTTTTCAATTCATACTAGATTGTTTAGAAGTAGGGTTCATCGTGCCCTTTAAGACAGAGGATTTGACATTTCTGTAAACAGTTGTGAGACAGGCTTCTGGTACTGCAAAATTGGTTGTCTGAAATTGTGGCATTCATGAGTGTTGTAGCTGTATCATGCAGAAGGTCTGTTTTTGTTCTTGAGGAACAGCCATGCTGTCTTCCACAGTGGTAGACCAGTGACTTTCTCATCAACAGGGAATAGAATTCCTCTTTGCCCACATGTGCACTGCTGTTTACTGCTGGCTTTCTTGATGGCAGCAATTCTGATTGCAGTGATGTGGAAACAATTTTCCTAGAGACTAAAGATATTGATAGTTTCAGATCAGATATCCAATGATACCTCCAGAATCGTATTTTCTGTTTAAAATTGATTTGATTAATTCCGGGCTTTGTGCTTCCACATGGGTTTTATGATTTCTTTTGTCACTGGGACTGCGGTGAATATTTCATTTACTGTGCACATCTTCCAGCAATATAGTCATTTTCACCATTTCAATCTTGCATGTCTTAGCTAATAGAAGATCTTTCCATTTTCTAATATCTTCTTTGATTTCTTCATTTTGTTATTGTTGTTGTTGTTTGTTTGTTTATTTGTTTTTCAAGACAGGGTTTCTCTGTTTAGCTTTGGAGCCTATCATGGAATTTGCTCTGTAGACCAGGCTGGCCTGGAACACACAGAGATCCACCTGCCTCTCCCTCCCAAGTGCTGGGATCAAAGGCATCTGCCACCAATGCCTAGCTGGACCCACTCTTTATTTGGCTATATGCTGTTATTTTAGTCTTAATTTCATTCATTTTAGCACCTTATTATTTTTCATAGTCTGTTTTGTGTTTGCTTTATTTGTTTTTACTTGTTTCTACAAACCTGACTTTTATGATTATCTTATTTACTTGAGGTTTTTCTGTTATGTTTTATGTATGAATAATAGACTTCATAGAACTGCCTTAACTGTATGTCAATATTTCTGGTAGGATAAATACCATGAACAAAAGCAACGTATGGATGGAAGAGCTTATGTTGTCTAATTGTTCCAGAAAGAGGGTCCATGGAAGGAGAGGAACAGCAGCAGGTGGACATTAAAGTAAGCTGGTTAAGTAGGTTCTCACCCACACACTGGAGGTAGAGAGTGTGAGATGGATGTTAGAAGGGGCTATAGATCCACAAAGCCTGCCCCCAAGGACACACTTCCTTTCTCAAAGCAATACCTTCTAAATGTTCCACAAGCAACCTCAAACAGTGCCACCAACTAAGGAGCAAGTATTCAAATAAGGTGCTAGAAGATAATTTCTGATTTAGTCCCCAGCAGTTGTAGTTTTATCTTTATTTGATTTGGACAATGGTTAAAATTTCTGGTGTATTCATTGATTCATAAGTCATTCAGATGCATTTTTAAAAAATATTTGGGAAGCTTTTATGATATTTCTCTGTATTGTTTTCTAGTTTTAGCT